CAAAGCTCCATGAATTGTATTTCGAATTGCTACCACACATACCATACTCACCAGATTTAACCCCCAGTGACTTTTCCCTGTTCCCGAATCTGAAGAAATAGCTCGCTGAAAAAAAGTCACTTCATATACAGAAGTCATCGCTGAAATAAACGTATATTTTCCAGAGTTCGAGAAATTGTATTACATTGAAGGTATAAAAAAGTAAAAATATTGTTGGTCTAAGTGTATTGAGCTGAAAGGGAATTATGTTGAAAAATAAAAAAAAAATGGATAAAAAATCATGTGTTTTCATTGACAGGTCGAGAACTTTTCAAATTACCTTCATGTGTATATGTAAGGTCTTAAAAAGTAATCCATTATTTTTGTATCAAATTGGAGGCTTTATTTAACATAGTTACAATGATCCAATTTAGGTCAAATATGCATCGTTTTGTTCAATAACTTGCTGCCATTTCGAAAGTAATTTCATTATGCCTCTCTCATAGAAACCCTCGTCCCTATTGGCAAAAAACTGGGAAAGTCGATTTTCACAAGCTTCTCTTGAGGCGAATTTTTCACCAGCAAAAAAATTCGCCATAGACAGGAACAGGTGGTAATCACTTGGTGCCAGGTCCGGACTATAAGGTGGATGCAAAAGAACCTCCCAACCAAGCTCCCGGAGCTTCTGGCGAGTCACTATCGATGAGTGTGGCCTGGCGTTATCCTGATGGAACACAATTCCTCTCCTATTGGCCAAAGCTGGCCGCTTCTGGGCGATTGCTTCCTTCAGACGGTCCAATTGTTGACAGTACAGGTCCGAATTAAGAGTTTGGCCGTAGGGGAGCAGCTCATAGTAGATAATTCCCTGCCAATCCCACCAAATACACAGCAAAATCTTCCTGACCGTCAACCCTGGCTTGGCCACCGTTTGCGCCGGCTCATCGCGATTCGACCACGATCGTTTTCGCTTGACGTTGTCGTAATTGACCCACTTTTCATCACCAGTAACCATCCGCTTCAGAAATGGATCGATTTTGTTGCGATTCAGCAGCGATTCGCAGATGGAAATTCGATCCATGAGGTTTTTTTGCGTTAATTCGTGTGGTACACACACATCGAGCTTCTTTTTGAATCCAGCCTCATTCCAAACGGTTTTTTGTGCGATGTTTAGCTCCTTGGCTATCGAAACGGTGCTTACACGACGGTCGGACTCGACGATTTCCATTATTTTATCAACATTTTCGACAATTGGCCTCCCGGAGCGTGGTGCATCTTTGACATCAAAATTACCGGAATTGAATCGACGAAACCAAAATTGCGCGTGATTGGCTCTTACAGTATCAGGACCATAAACACTATTCACATTTTTAGCCGCCTGGCTTGCGTTTTCGCCTTTATCAAAAAAAAACTGTAAAATATGGCGTATTTTCTCTTTGCTGGTGTCCATCTTTGACGCGCGCTCAAACAATATTGAGTCAAGCAATCACAAAACTGTCTGAAAGGTTTTTTTAGTACGAAATCTTATCTTTTTAACGCCATCTGACGTAATCCGGTCGGACTTATACAACGCGAGATACAGATTAATAAAGCCCTCTATTGGAAAAATAATGGATTACTTTTTACTAAACCTAATATATACAGGGTCCGTCAAAAGTTCCGGCTAATTCAATTAAAAGGAACTGCTAATTGTTTCAAAAAATAAAGATTAAAAAAAATGTTTAGAACAAAAGTTGTACAGTTTGAAAAAAGCTATCAGTCCTTGATAATTGTTTGGCTTTACAATGATCTTAAAAGCGTTATTAAGGTCAACATAAAAATCTTAAATGGAATTTTAAATGGAACCCCCTATTTTTCGTTACATATTCTTATACCTAATGTTGAGACGTTGACATAGCTGTGTGTGTATATATATATATATATATATATATATTGTAACGATGCATCCTCCCCCGGCGAACACCGCGGCCGACCGACCATCCGTCGGCCGCAAAACGGCGCTCAGCGCCAATAAACAAATTTACACGCGGCGCACACCTCTGACACGTGCGCACGTAGGCAACAACAATTGTTGCCAAACACACACATGTCGGAAAAACCTGGCTAAACCCGGTATAAAAGACCGCGCCGCCGTGCTATCGGGGCCAGACTCCACCGGAGTCAGCTGAGATCGCAAGATCACAAGCTGCTCCGGATTCCGTCCTCAGGTCGAGGGACGGTGCGTGCGCGGTCTCTCCCGCGGATGTCGCGGGCACCGGATTCCTGACAACTTCCATTTCGGGACGGTGTGTTCGCCGTCTCCACTGGGAGTTCCCGGCCCTCTTGCCCGTGGCAGACCTGGGAATCGGCACAAGTCGGGGTTGTGTGTTCGCCGCCTCTGTTGAGTGTTCTCAACCTCGGCACCTCCACTCTAGCCATTGGGGTTCTGCGTCTCCGGGACATGCGAACGCCCCGGAATACCGTTCCGCGTACCGCGCCGCGTAGCTAGAGATAACGCGTGTCTCTCCGCCGCACCTCACCGGAGGTACCACCGACCGTCGCGAAACCGCGAATCTACCGCCGCCGGCTGCACGTTAGCCAGGCTCGCCCGGCCGATTCCACCATTCCTGTAAGGAGACACGATACCGCGTGCCTTCCGCTCCGGGAGTCGACCGACGCGGGCACTCCGCGTGCGGCAACCACCGCGACCCGTGTACCGCAAACCACGTACCGCGACCCGCGTACCGCGACGCCGAGTCGAGCAGGTGCATTCCGCTGTTGCACTCCGATGCGAAACCGTCGGATTTAAAGCCCGCGAAACGTCAACACAACACGCCGAGACAATAATACCGCGCCCGCTTTCCGCTGACACCTCGAGATCCTCGAAGCGAGCGACACGTCTGCTCTCGATAGATTCCGGGAAACACTGATCCGCCGAAACACCGATCAAGCCGTCAATACACGACCACGATATAAACATGGGATTCCATCGCCGACACTGTCATCGCAATATTTACCAGCGTTAAAAGGCAGAAGTAAAGCACGGCCTATTACTATTCAATCTGTACCAAACAACGTAGGATATAATTAAATAAACGGCGTGATATCCAGACACTCGTTTGCTCACTTATNAACCGTCGGATTTAAAGCCCGCGAAATGTCAACACAACACGCCGAGACAATAATACCGCGCCCGCTTTCCGCTGACACCACGAAATCCTCGAAGCGAGCGACACGTCTGCTCTCAATAGATTCCGGGAAACACAGATCCGCCGAAATACCGATCAAGCCGTCAATATACGACTACGATATAAACACGTGATTCCGTCGCCGACACTGTCATCGCAATATTTACCAGCGTTAAAAGGCAGAAGTAAAGCACGGCCTATTACTATTTAATCTGTACTAAACAACGTGGGATATAATTAAATAAGCGGCGTGATATCCAGACACTCGTTTGCTCACTTATTCGCTCACTCACTCACTCGTTCACACACACACACGCACACTCTCACTACAAGACGCCTGGATATCCGGCGAGCTACGTCATGGCCACCGACACCGAACACCGTCGACCAGCGACACTAGAAACGACCACCCCGCCGGCCGGGGCGGGACGAACGTCCACCGACCGACGGAGCCCGGGTCACAATATATATATATATATATATGGGTCATTCTATGTGAAAGGGGTACGCTCAAAAACTAGATTTGATCGAAATGTATGGCAATCGGTAGTATTATTTTAGAAAACATTTGTCGAATTTTTTCGGATTTTTTGACCCACACCATGAGCTTCTATGGCTGTCATCAAATTCGAATTTTTGCTTCGACTACCAGTTTCTTAATTTTCGTCGTCGTCGTCGTGCCAATAAAAAAAATCTGAAACCATTGTAACTTTATAGCATTTTTCCCATAGAATCTGAAAAAAATATTTATAAAATTTTAGGGGGTAGTTTTCACCCTTATTTTGAGATTTTAAAGTTTAAAATCGAAATTTCGCAAGTACGCCACCTTCGATTTTTTTTTGTTTTCTTTCATTTTATTCCTTTTTAAATTTGCTTTCGATTAAGTCATGTCTCATGATGGTAATCGACCTGGAACAGGCCCAATATAAGGCCCAAAGGCAAAAATCCACCTTTTCCTAAAAATCTGACTTCAGATTCGTTATCAGCGACCTTCAAAATCTAAGAATACACCTCAAACCTGATTATGACCGTCTTGAGGGTTGAGATATAACGGTAAAAAGGTGGATTTTTGCCTTTGGGCCTTATGTTGGGCCTGTTCCAGGTCGATTACCATCATGAGACATGACTTAATCGAAAGCAAATTTAAAAAGGAATAAAATGAAAGAAAACAAAAAAAAATCGAAGGTGGCGTACTTGCGAAATTTCGATTTTAAACTTTAAAATCTCAAAATAAGGGTGAAAACTACCCCCTAAAATTTTATAAATATTTTTTTCAGATTCTACAGGAAAAATGCTATAAAGTTACAATGGTTTCAGATTTTTTTTATTGGCACGACAACGACGACGAGAATTAAGAAACTGGTAGTCGAAGCAAAAATTCGAATTTGATGACAGCCATAGAAGCTCATGGTGTGGGTCAAAAAATCCGAAAAAATTCGACAAATGTTTTCTAAAATAGTACTACCGATTGCCATAGGTTTCGATTAAATCTAATTTTTGAGCGTACCCCTTTCACATAGAATGATTCATATATATATATATATATATATNTATGAATCGTTAATAATATTCAATGTATAATTTCACAAGCTAAATTTAAATGTTAGGAAAAGCAAAAATATTAGTTATGATTTAAGTTATGACTAATTTTATTTTAACATTAATTTTGTAAAAGAAGGTTTCATAAATTTTATTTAGATAAATTTGACATCACTTTTATTCTTTTTGTCTCTAACATAGGAATGTACTTTATAAATACGTTATTTAATTAATTATTATTAACTATTATTATTATTATTATTATTAAATATCTATCTCGTATCATTAAAATGTTCTTATTGCATCATAATCTCGCAGAAGATACGTAATTTTCTCGATGGAGCAAAAAATGGAGCTGTTGTAATATCATTAGGAACCAATGTGGCATGGAAATCTGTTGGATTGGATAAAGTCGAGGCCGTTATAGTTGCTCTATCAAAGTTGAAACAACGTGTGCTTTGGAAACTAAAAGTTAAATTGTCCCTTAAAATGCCGGATAACGTGATGACTATGAAGTGGATTCCTCAAGGAGATGTTTTGAGTATGTTTATTAATTTGATTGAAAATATTAGAAATATAAGATTTGATATACAATTATATTTTCTCGTAACAATTATTCTATTTAGATTTGTTATTATTTTATATACACATGCATTTACTCTTTTATGGAAATTGTTTCATATATAGGACATTTATTTTTTCACAGTTTCTTTGTTATTACGTACTTCATAATTGGTTTGTGTAACATGTGTGATTTCATTATGTTCCTAAGACTTGTATGCATACGTGTATATATGCATATATGATAGATGAATATGTAATTATTTTATGTCCAAATAAAATTTCATAAAAATCAAAATTTTATATTTTGTAAGATTCTATAATAAAAATTTATTTATATGTAGCTGAAATCTTATATTTATGGTATATTTATGGTATATGGTATATTTAAAAGTTTTAAAATAAGAGCCATGTTCCTCAGTTACGTGCGCTTCACTAAAATTTATTGCTAAAGCTTAAGCGATAAAATAAGATTTAAGAGGAGGCCATGATGCTTATTATTGATTTTTAAGGTTATGTTGCTTAAATATCAAATTACAAGGTGTATTTTAATTTTGAATATCAATACTTTAAAATAGCAAAAAGGTCGACAATAACTTAAATTCAAATAATTTATATTTTTTTGCAAAGTTGGACGGCATGAATTAATTAATATACCTAATATATGATATTTCATTATGAAAATATTCAAATACATACTATACATTTAAATTAGACTTTTCATAAAACTTTTTTCATAATTATTTATAATTAATTAAAGAAGATATCTATGAAATCGAATATGTTGCTTTACACAGTAAGAATTTTTTAAATGTATATAATATTTTATAACAAAAACTATTTGACTTGATGCTATCATAATGAATAAGGATGTTAAAACAATTTTTTTATAAATTATTTAAATTAATCAATAAAAGAACATTCCTATTATATCAAATTAGTTACTTTCTAGTCGCAATATTATCATATGAAATCAAAGAATATTATATATATATGGTCGATTACCATCATGAGACATGACTTAATCGAAAGCAAATTTAAAAAGAAATAAAATACAAAAGAACAAAAAAAAATCGAAGGTGGCGTACTTTGCGAAATTTCGATTTTAAACTTTAAAATCTCAAAATAATAGTGAAAACTACCCCCTAAAATTTTATAAATATTTTTTTCAGATGCTACGGTAAAAATGCTATAAAGTTACAATGGTTTCAGATTTTTTTTATTGGCACGACGACGACGACGAGAATTAAAAAACTGGTAGTCGAAGAAAAAATTCGAATTTTATGACAGCCATAGAAGCTCATGGTGTAGGTCAAAAAATTCGAAAAAATTCGACAAATGTTTTCTAAAATAGTACTACCGATTGCCATAGGTTTCGATCAAATCTAATTTTTGAGCGTACCCCTTTTACATGGAATGACCCATATATATATGGTTTGTCCGGAAAGTAATTTCAGTGATTTTTTTTTTACGCGACTGACCGTCAGAGCGCGCTCGGATCAGTTGGGAATGGTAGAGGGGGAAGTCAGCTAACGAATGTGGAGTCACTCAATCTTCTCCCGCCATAGTAAGGACATGCGTTGCCGTGGAAGTCGTTTTGTGACCTCGTGCAAGTAAAAATGCAGCGCTCATTAGAACAAAGGATGGCAATCATGTTTTGCGTTAAACTTGGCAAGACCGCGGCGGAAACTCTCCTAATGATCAAGACAGATTTTGAAGGAGATGCCTTGTCGGATCGGCAAGTGTTCCGGTGGCACAAAATTTTTTTGGAAGGCCGGGAAGAGGTCGACGACGAAGCCCGCGCCGGACGGCCATCGACGAGCACCAAGGATGATAATGTGACGCGAGTGAAAAAACTTTTGAACACAGACCGACGATTGAATGTCCGTTTACTGTCACAGTTATTAGACACAGTTATTATGGTTCAACGCGTTCGGCCGGACATCGTAAAGGACTGGAAGTTGCATCACGACAACGTGCTGGCCCACAGATCCTACCTCGTCACCAACTACATGGCCAAAGCAGGGTTGCCAACAATTCCCCAGCCTCCGTACAGTTCGGACGTCGTTCCCTCCAACTTCTTTCTGTTTTCACGTCTGAAACGACCCATGAAAGGAAAGCATTTCGAGGCCATTGAAGGGATCCAAGCAGCTTGCACCGCGGCTTTAAAGGACATTCCGGAGGAGGCCTACCGTGCCGCATTCGATGCTTCGAAAACTCGCTAGAGTCGATGTGTCAACGCAGAAGGAGCTTATTTTGAAGAATTTTGTTGTGTTGTAACGAAAAGTCTAATAAATTTTTTTTAATTGACTCAATGACATT